ATCCCTTTGTTGAAAAAAACATTGCTTAAGCTACTCATTCTAAAATAATGTTCTGATTTGATTGATTCTTATTACACAGAACCCTCACAACAACATGTAGCAATTTTAGTAAACCTCCCCTATATTTCCCCGTCCAATAACCATGGAGAGACATTTAAGCAGCATGGGCATGGGGACTAAGTGTTTGGATTAATCATGAAACCCCCGTTGACCATATATGTGCTGGCTTGGCATTAAAGGACGAATACATTCATGCTTTTATGAGAGTCCGCTGGTTATGATCCCTTAGGATTTAGTCGCTTCGTCATTACATTTGCATGGAAATTGTAGAGACAGACAACCATTTATGTAATTGCTGGTCATGAATATATGGATACACTTAGGCTACAACAAGTACTTTCATAGGTCAGCCCCGCCCCTTATGCCTTAATGCAGGTTTATAACATTGAAATACATGTATTTGATATTCCAACCGTACATCCAAACATGTGTGCTAAACAAACACAATCATGGATGCATCCTTGGGTCTAGCCCCATTATTAGATATGTATTTGCCTAGAATGCCTTTTAATGAAAACGTTTTTTCAGGATCGCTTTAAAATCACAGCGATCTTCATTTTGTTAACAAAAACATATGGAAAGACAATGATGAAAATAAATCATATTTGATTTCGGACAAACTCTGAATGATCACAACAATTTAAGCACTCATTAGTGATGACCAAATATGCAAAAAGCTGAGCAATCCTAAATGCGGACGTTCTGTAATTCTTGATGATAATGTTGATGATGAGTGTAAATATGGCAGAATGGGGATGACTAGGTGTAATGAGAATGATGTCATTCAATTGTATGTTGCTAAAGACGAATGTTTTGATATTGAGTTTGAATAATGGTGAAGGTAGTGATGTAAGGCTCCGCTTAACTTTTTAGCTCACCTGCCCAAAGGGCATGTGAGCTTATGCCATAGAGATGCGTCCGTCGTCCGTCCGTTTGTCCGTCAATTTTTTGTTTAAACGACTTCTTCTGAAGATCCGAAAGGCATAGGGTCATGATTTTTGGCCAGTAGAATCCTATAATGGAGCCTGACAAAGTTTGCGAATGAAAATGACCTAGGTCACATGGGTCAAATAGGTCTAAACATTCAAACGACTTCTTCTGAAGATCCGAAAGGCCTGAAGTCATTATTTTAGGCCAGTAGTATCCTATGATGAAGCCAAAAAAATTTGCAATTGAAAATGACAGGGGTCAAATAGGTTTAAACCTTCAAACGACTTTTTTGAAGATATGAATGGCCTTGAGTCATGATATTTGGCCATTAGTATCCTATGATGGAGCTCGACAAAGTTTGCAAATGAAATGACCTTGACCTACTTTCAAGGTCGCAGGTGTCAAATAGGTTTAAACCTTCAAATAACTTCTTCTAAAGATCTGAAAGGCTTAGAGTCATGATTTATGGTCAGTTCCTTTCTATGATGACGCAAACCAAAGTTTGTGAATGCAAACGAGCTTGACCTACTTTCAAGGTCACAGGGGTCAAACAAGTCTAAACCTTTAAACGATTTCTAAATATCCAATCGACCTTACTTCACAATATTTTGCCAACACCTCCATGTAACAAAACAAACAGGTGAGCGATACAGGCCCTTCTTGGGCCTCTTGTCTGCTATACAATATATCAGCTGCTTTTACATAAAATGGCATCTAACTTGTTTATATGAAGTTCATGGGAATGTGGTACCTTACATCCTAAAACATGGTCACTGTGACCACAATTTGACGTTTAACCTTAAATTAGATTACTGAAATAACGGTTTCCAGACCACATTTTAGCTGCTGTTTCATAAATGGGCATCAAACGTTTTATATTGGTACATCATGGGAAGACGGTGTGTCGCTTCCTAAAACAAGGTCACTGTTGCCTTAATTTGACCTTCACCTCCCATACTAAAATAATGAGTTTTAGAGCATTTCTCATCATTGCAGTCACTGTTTCATGAATGGGCAACAAACTTTGTGTATATGTACATAATCAGGCGGTGAATGGCATCCAAAAAGCAAGGTCACTGTGACCTCAATTTTACCTTTAACTTTGAACTTGAGTATTGAAATAATGGTTTCCAGAGAACATCTAGACGACTGTTTGATGAATGGCCTTCAAACCTTTTATATAGGAATATCATAGAATGTCGGCATGTCCATCCTAAAATGAGGTCCCCGACCTCAATTGGACCTTTGGATGACCTTGATCTCAAGTGCTGAAATAATGGTTTCAGTGAAGCTGTTGTTGCAATGTCAATTCGACTTTTGACCTTTGACTTCAATTTCAAATACTGATTGAGATCTTTAATCTTTCTTTGTTGAACATAGAAAGACATTTACTGCACTAGTGAACTATGATTGAGTGTTTGTTCTGCTGACCAATTTGGAATTTATAACATGTTAACAGTTGAGCTACCAACACTATACAATACAATTGCTGGGCATGGATAGTTTACATATATGCTACCACAATGGTGTCAGGGTCCAGCCCTTCCCCCTATAACCATACATGACGGTATTCAAGTCCTTAAAAAAAGGTGTTGTTATTAAAATGCTTCTTCCCTGACAATTCTATTCAATTTAAATGCGATCAAATATATATTGCATGGCAATGTAACATTATTGACAAATGATAACCTAAACCTGTCTGTCTATTGTCTATATATGCATTTATTTTCATAATTTAATCCGTGTATTCATTCGTTTACAGTTGCAGACATGGAGAATTTTAAAATATATGATATTTTGGTTAGTTTGTAATGATAAAAAGAAGAAGAAGAAGAAACGGACCAAACTTTGTTTTGGGGACATAATAATGATAAGAAACAGATCAAAAACAATATGTCCCCAAACTTTAAAACTTTGTTTGGGGGCATGATTATAAGAAACTGAGTAAAACCAATAAGTCCCCCACTTCGTTTGGGGGACTTAATAAGAAACGGAGCAAACATAATATGTTCCCAAACTCCGATTGGGGAACATAAATAACGGAATACACAACAGAAACAGTCGAAAAATGCATCCGAATAATGTTTGGTCTTTTGACACTGAAGGTAAAGCCTCAAGTAAATGAGACCTAAAACCCAAGCCATCTAGCTAGGATTACACGTAAATTAGTTATATTGTATCACATAATGGACTGTGTTATCCAGTGAATATACCTATGTCATATTTGTTTGCGTATTAACCCATGTAATATGACCTGTCAGCCCTGTGATTGGTTGTAAGTTTCAATTGTAACGTCATGCCTAGGACAAGTACATGACGTCATAGACTAATTACGCACTAGAGTCAAAATGGCGTTTTTTTTACATTTCAAGGTTGCATAAATTGTCGTTTTACACGAATAAAGGCCACAAATCTTGATAATGTGATAAAGAGGATATTACATTCGGTTTCATTTCATATGTACTTTATGAAACCCGTCACGTATTGTTCATTTTAGCTCTTAGACTCGTTTCATAAATCTCATATAAAATGGAAACTCATGTAAAATCCTATATAAATGTGGTATTGGTAAGCTTATAAAAACGCACATATTTTGCACGATACGTTTAATACTAAACAGAAGCAATGTCGTCTTCTTTTGGGTACACGAATCACCACCAGACCATGACGACGCTCCCTACCTTATCATCTGAATGAGAAAGGTTTAATGTGACATAAAGGTTACACAGTTCCCATTTGGTAAACGACACAACGTTTTTCCATGCTGCACCTACATGTTAAGTCGGACGTCTAACGTCAGTGTACCCAAAACGGTACAACTGTGGGGAAAATGTGTGTCCTGCTATGCATTATGTATACTAATGCGTAGTCGAGTATCACAAAAAATATTAATTGTTTAAGGACAAAGAACGTTTCCACGCTTTGCTGGTGGAGTTGTTCTGTCATAAACAGGGACTCACATTTAAATGTAAATCAGGATAGCATTAGTGTCGCCGACAACGGAAGGTAGATATAAAGTTAAGGGGATCGCACTACAAGGCATTACATTTTTTTATTGCATATCGCATTGCAAATGTAGGTAGTAGACAATTGTTTACAATATTACCAGTTCACGATACACGGCATTAACAAAGACGGTATGGCGTTGCTACAGTTGGTATTTACACGCTCCTTGTACCGTATACCGAGTCACTGAGAGTTATACAAGAATAGATATGCAGGTACAACCGTTTTATCATAAACCTGGGTGAGTATTTTAACACAAGCATCTGTATTGTCTAATGTGGAAAAATGTTAAAAATGAAAAATAAAAATCGTTCTTATTTCTTGATAAAATTCGACAAAACAAACCGCATCAAGCTGTTACAAGATACAACTTTTATCTATTATTATATTTCCCCCTTAAGGGTTTCTGACATGGCAGTCCATTCCAATATAAGGTAATGCTACAAGGCTACATGAAGCTGTTTACCAGTATCATCTGTCATCCTGTCGACCCCAGGTAAAAATCGATAGTCACACGTTATATGGTATAACTTCATGTCTTTCGAAAATTGATTTTGCGAAATGTTTCTTTATGGAGGATCATATGTAGTATCACGTAATGAAATGCTATCCGGGCGAAATATTTACATCGTTAATGAAATGTCGTCTTAAGTTTACGATCTATACAGCAATGATGATAGAAAATTTTAATAACGCGTTGCTATTTCAGGACAAGCGATATCCGGTATATATTGACGTACACTGCTCCTTGTATCAATGTACCGGAGTAAACTCAAATAATAGCAGCCAGTGCTCATGGTGATACGCAAAAAAAACAAATCATTCACATGAAAACTATGTACGGTAATTACTGCCAATTAACCTGAAATATTTGCAGTTAACATTTAAAGTGTGGAGTAATTAACATTAAAAGAAGGTTTATAAATATTAAATGAAAGAGACTATTTTACGTTAGTACAAAGTACGATGGTTGGTAGGCTAAAGAGAAATGCCAACTAAATTACCTGTTCAGACTGGGTTTTCTGAAACAGTTAACGATAATCAATTCCCTTACATTTGATCAACATGTGGCTCTATCGTACCAACATAAAGACTACATCACAAAAGATCGCCCTACATACGCATCACAACGACAGTGTTTCCTTCTCTAAAGCACTGGGATCGTTAATCAAAAACGTTATGTATTGAGCGGAACCATAACAACCAAAGCCTAGTTTTAATGATAAACAAGCATGAGGCATGAACGCACAAAACGGCCACGGAATTAATACAAAAAATATTTTCGCTGTCTTCTTTTTATTCAAATAGCAAACCCAAAGAACACACATTCTGACAAACGAAAAAAACAAGAGGAAATTCATGTCATTGCTGCAACAAATCATAACAGCTGATCAATATTATGTTAATATTTATGTTTTCATATTGCGCCTTCCACCATGACATACAAACAGGGCAATTACACGTAAGATTACCATCACTGAAATCAGCCTGCTAAACCCTAATCCTACAAACAAATTGTGTTTTTTCTTTTGTTAAAATAATTCAAGACAAAACTGTAATACAGTAAAACATAATTACAACAAAATATTTCACCCACTAGGAAAACCTTGATTTGCATAACGTAAAACTTTTCAGCTGAAAAAAGTGACCAGTGGAGTATGTTTTCTTTCTGTTTATTTACATAGTTACGATTCAATAGGTGTAAGCTATGTTGTCATATTTCCAAGAAAAAATATTACCTCTCAAGATTTGAGATATTGAACCATGATATTAATCCATTTTACTATGGAACAAATAATTAACAAGAAGAAAAATTATATTAAATCGATCATTGTCGAAAACCAAACAAAGAAATAGTTTTTGTCACCAGGACTGACCATTCCTCTCACTATCATTTGTTTGTTCACTATTTAGCATAAAACGATAGCCGCTTTACACCTATTCAGACTACACAATTGTACGTTTGCATACGTATAGATAATCAATATATCGCTTTTCATGCTACAAAGAGTAGATAAAGAATAATAATTTTAACGGCAATGATAGGTGAATGCATTGCCTACTACACGGAATAACAAACACATTATATTACTGAAACGTATAGCATGGACGCTTTTAAAAGATTTCAATTATTCATGGTTTATCATATCAGCCCCACCTGCCAAGCCGTGGTAAAAAAGGATATTTCCGTTATGGCATTAATTATTCTGTTTCATTACATTAAATGAATGCAATCACACGAATTCATATGTTTCCAAGTCATTCTGGCCAACAATTCAGTATATTTGCAGCTCCATATACATATTAATTATAACCAGTCATGCGGCCAAATTGCTTGTATATGAATCGAACCCCTTTTAGATCGTAAACATATCGATTTCTGTAATGAATATAACAGATTTGCCTCGATTAAAATCAAGCAATTATGCCATATAAGAGACACACATGAACAATGAAGAGGTGTGAAATACACGTGGAGTTCACTACAATACTCACTTTATTTGTTCCGAAGAGAAAATTTGACTCATTATCTACTGGAACAGTATAACTGGCCTCGGGAGTTTTCATCCGTTTTGGTGTCCGGATCTTGAAAGAAATGAGAACGTTATCGGAGTACTGACTTTATGTTTAGATAAAGGCCAAAGTGCAAAAATAGTTGGTCTGAAGGGTTAGCCTTTAGATAGAATATTCTGATGAAAGAAGAAGAAAATGAAAACAACTGTACAGTACTATTCTTCAGCCTTTCGTTCGCTGAGAACAATATCCAGAGAACAATAGTATATAATTAAGCGGAGAGAGATCAATATTTTAATATGATTAAGCGGTTAGCTTCACCTTACTCCCACAATTAATCAACTGACAATCTAAACAAACTCTAGCGGTCATGTTTATTCTAGGCAAGTAGCATAGACGTATAGAGTACATACTACCGATAAAATTGAATTGATTTGTGTCAAACAACTAACCTCATTTTAATCTGATACCCAATCTTAGCATAGCTTAATACAATTAAGCTAATCGATTAAAATATCAATGTAACATGAAAGTGTTAATTTTATTTGCAGGCACCACCGAATACGTTCTTACTGAAATCAACGGTATTACTCAACCTTAGCAGCAATTACAATTAACACGTGTCACGTTCGTAAATTCATTATAAAAAGAAAATGAACGATCAAGACTTAATGGAATGTAGTAAAACCGTTATAATATTTTGAAATATTAACCATGCTTACCCTATAGACTGGCAGTGCACGATAAATCGCTCCCTGATTTTTATCGCCGGGAGTAAAACTTTCAAGGTGGTGGTTGTAGGCCTACAATAACAAACATCAAAATCAACAACTGCTTAAGACAAAGTTTACATAACAAATTCAAATTACAAATCTGTTGATTAAAACAACACTATTGAAACTATCGTTTTCATTATATTCAAATTTGAAAATATGATGCCATACTGCACCATAACACTATAGACAAAATACTTTCAGGAATCGTAGCTGCAATATAAGCAATAACACGAGTTTACGAGAGTATCAGATTAATATCCAAATGTCCTTCCCTTTGTTTTGTCAAAACAAAGTTTAATAGCTATCAACTTGAACAATTTTCCAAGCGCCTTGGAAGAATGCCACGTGCATATTTGCAATTATTCATGTTACACCACACCAAGATTAGATGTTTGCGATTTAAAAGGCATGACCATGATCTCTAAGCAAGATCGGGATTGTAAAATTTGCATTCAAATAACGCTATCAATACAATCGGCAGTGTTTTTAAAACCATCACTCTAAGCCAAATACTTTACACCAAACATTCCTATCCAATCCTGTAAGTGATTTCTTCATAGCTCCAACAATTCGACGCTAGAACAATTAGGGATAGACTCCTGCATTGATCAATTTCAAAGGATGTTGAACTGAGTGTGTCTTTGCATAATTCAAAGTACTCCGAAGCAGATCGTTTCAATTTAGTATTGTTTCAGACACAAAAAGGTCAATAGCCCAATAAATCAGTATGATTATGTCCAATACACGAATATCGAAATCCCAGGGTTATGCTGTCTTATGTTCTATGCACCCCTGTAATATGTTATGATGAAATCGGGTGCATCACTTTGTCAATGTAAACAATACCCTAGTTTGTTTTTCCCTTTGATGTACATCAAAAGAATCGCACGACTGTGTAACGATAAAAAATGTCCGGCTTTGTAATCAGTGGTCACTCTTCTGTACTTTCAAAAGACAGTAATCAGCCTAGCAATAGTTCAGTTTTTTAACACGAAAACCAATGAAATATTTAACCGAGTGTTTTCGATGGGATGCAGAGAGCGTACGTGAGCGCAATTCTTGCATTTTTGTGGATTCCATTACCCTGCTTTTTCAACCATATTTGATGGTGGTATTCTCGTCATGTCAACGAAGCAATAATAACCGCGGAGTTGATGTTCATGCAAAGAGTTTGTGGATGAAACAGGCGGCGTATAAAATTGATGTGGCAAAACATAAGGTTCACTCGAACCCTTTACAAATCAGTAGCATATTTGACTATATTAATTTTACCAGGAGGTGTGTCGTATAACTAGCCATGCTACGCCATCACCGTTTAGGTTGTAAACAAAGCGACACACACTCTGTTTCACATACGTTTAAATCCCTGATCCAAAGACAATACAATTGTGACCAATAAAGCATCAAAATAAGTAGGTATGTATCCAAAACCATTACATATAAGTTGTGTGTTCCTATTTTAAACTCATTGTTAAGGTGTATATTGCGCAATAGTAATTAAATATCGGTTTTCCTGGATACTAAGGACATAAGTATATTACTTTGCTGTATGATAGCCATGCAATGCATTAGTACATTATTGTTGCATTTTGATGTCACTATTGCAACCATGCTAAGATTACACTGATTACCCCTTCTATTTCATTTGAATTCCTGATTCCAAGCTTTCGGTCTAAGCTGCCCTGTAAAAGTAGTGTTGTAAAGTTAAGACACAGGATAGATCACAATAACAAGAAACTAGAAAAAAATCAAACGTTCAACTGAATATCCGGCTCATTTAGGTATAGGGATCGCCCACTTCTAGCCATCACCCCCATCCACCAAATCCAACCTCGTAAAAAACCGATAACTGTGATTCAACGGTCAACTTTAATTCCTCGTTCATCCATGCGTAAGCATTAACTAATAATCAATACGAGAAATATATCAAAAGAAGTAAATGGATGTTTTTTTCTTCTAATGTGTTAGATTTGATATATATGACAAAGTTAACATCTACTTCTTTTACAATACGGGTTCTAACTCTACGAAAACATGTCAAAATTGTGTAGGATACATATTGATATATTTTGCATTAAAAGGTAATTGCTTTATGTATCATGATCAATTTAAAAATCAAACGATGAAGGTTGATATGAAAACATAATACATTTTGCCCTAAATGTAAATGATCTTCCTTCAGTCATGTGTGAAAATGTATAACTTTAGTTCTTTTTTAAGTACCATGTGTACCATTAACAATAAGTATGTACACCTGGTTGCCCTTTGGATGAATAAAACCTGATATATACATACCTTAGATATACGTACGAGGGCGACCGTTTTAACTGATGTAGATCCCCTTGCATGTTTCTTAGGTCACGTTCAGTGAATACTTTTTGATTCAATGTTAACTTGGTAATAAAGCCGGGGCTGATAGGTAATCGGGTGTGGTATTGATGATTAAGTTTACATGTTATTTTGCTCAGAGAAGCGATATTAAATGTGGCAGTACCTTAGGCTTCATCAAGGCAGTAAAGAACTTCTTGTCTTCCAGTAAATTATTTTTCTTCGTCTGGGGAATTGTACTCTCTTTCTGCCTCATGTAAGCGGAACGACGGAACGGTTCCCACCTGGAAAAGTTATTATAATATACATGTCATGACTAATTTATCAGTTAACAATGAAAACTCTATCTGCAAGTCCCAAGTCCAATATTTATAGAGTTTCATAGAACATTCTGGATAGAAGTGTTTAGAAATACAGATGAAAAGGACCCATGAGAATAAATGGAACATTGATGACGGAGTTAGTGAATACGTGCTACATTACATTAAAGTGTTATTTTCGATGATAAAATGCTTTTCTTAAGGTCGTCATAAAAAACTGGTTTTCATCAAAACAAGTTCAGTCTGTGCTATGTTTGAATGGTTAATGGCGTTCATCTTTTTAATGTCTCGTCGTTTCCGGACTTGTCATACCGAACTGGAATTCAGATTTGTAATGCTTGTTTGCTTATGCTGTTGTACATTTCTCTTCTATTTTGCTTTATAGATAGAGGGATTTCAGTGCTGGACTCACCTGTTATTGTCAAATATTAGTGGGTACTCGTACATTTCCACCGTCCTGACGGTTTGTTTAGCACCTTTGTTCTTGACCGGGGCCATGGGAGCCTGTACAAATTAAAGTCCAAACTTAATACTTTATAACCGAAAATCTCCTTTTCACGGTCGGTCTTTATTTTCCTTATTGAGGAATGAAGTGAATTCAACAGAATGGCGATAAATACTAAAGTTTATGAGATACTTTCGGTATAAAGTAAAATTGTTCTGACCGTTAAAACACAGAATCATTCAATTTGAACGCCATCCGACGGAATATTACCTGTGTATAGATTTTTATTGTAAAACATTGCATAATAAGTTATCATGTGTTGGGTGTTTTTTTTACTCATGATGATGTTTTTCACATAGTTCGCATTTGTCATTATGAGTATACTGTAATACATGTTAGCAATATTTTCGTGCTACATAGCCATACGTTCATTTCGATGCTCTTGCATCTTAATAAGAAATTCTTTTTTTTTGAATAAAACTAAATTTTGTTATTTTATTGTATGGAACTTGGACCTTTTATATCCTAAGTAAAACTTCGCTTTATAAACCATTGTGGTATGTAAATATAACACTAGAGAAGGTTACGTGGTAACACCGACGGAGAACTAAGTAATCACACGACTAGGTATGGGGTATTGGGGCGTTCTGATACCTCGGTGATGTCGTACGGTAGTACGGCCGGACCTGCCTTCTCCTCAGACACCGGCCAGATAAAGGTTCTGTGCTGACTGTAAAAGCCCACGAATCGTCCCTTGGAACCCCACCATACCCTGCAATGGTACAGTAGCCATGTAATAATTGTATCAGTTATAACATGTGTTTGGTAGGACTGTTCTGTGGTAAGTTACAATGCTAACGGTTATTCAGTGCATGTTTATTAGAAATTTTATAATACGGATCTATACTTCATATGTGCAAACTTCACCTGATATATGTATAAAAGTTAGTCCCATTTAGAAAAAGTATAAAGTATCTAATCATTAAAATCTACTAGAGTAAAACTGATATTTGCATTGTTTCCTATCTCTCAAAATATGCCATCGATTCTCAAAGTAAACAAAATCCTAAAACGTGACACGTTTAAAAAAAAAGAATTTTAAATGTTCTTTAAGTGATCCTGAAATGCTTATGTACAGTTGAATTTTGATAATAGTATTCTACAAAGGCAATAGGTCACATCTAAAAATGTTGTTTTTACTATCTTACAGTTGAACGTTACGAAATATTTTTTGACAAAACAAATTAGTTACGTCACAGGTGCTAGTTCAAGACAAAAACATGCGACTGGAATCTATTAGATTTGTTGCCATTTAAACTTTCTTCTAACCTCATATCTGCCATTACAAAAAAAACATTTCTGATGGCACACAGCTCTAACAGAGTTCATAAAATAACATGATGTCAAAAATATACTATGTGTAGAGACAGTACTACATACCTTACTGACCCATCCGACGAACCCGACACTATCGCCTTGTATGGGTTGATATATTCAAGGGAAACCACTTTCATCAAGTGAGCACGCCAATATATCACTTGTTTCAATAAGGCCTTAAAAATAAATTGATTTATCGTTATTGTTTTCTTTTCAATTAAACAGAATCGAGATAGATTGTTTAAAAACGTACACCATCATTTCCATTTAATAAAAACAGTCCACGAGTGTTGCTGACATTCCAATGAATATGAGACTTATTATTATTTGCTTTTTGACTTGTTATACATTTGATTTAATAACGTATTGTATTGTTTAGATACTGATACATATATATGAATTACAGTCGTGAACAATTGTATCCAATATGTGCACACTGATTATGATGACATGTCTCACTGTCCAACCTGTATTTACGTTTCAATTCCAGCTTCGAAATGAACATTACGGTTTGTAAATTTGCGTTTACATAAGTTACCTGGTCAGTAGAGGTGGGATTCTTCAGAAACTTGCCTACATCCCATAGCGTGAGGTAACCTTCTGCAGATACAACCAAATACACAGCATCGTATTATAATATCTTGTTTCGTGTAACCGTCTTGATTTAAAATTGTGGTGTTTCTTTTATGAAATAAGTTATCTTCAGAGGTAAGGTTTAGGCGATTGCCAGAACAGTATCTTCTTAAGCTCAATGACCACAGCTTTACCTAACTGGAGAATCCTAACTCTCATATCTAATTTTACAAACAGAACTGTCTTTTACTTAACCCAAGCATTAGAGCTATTTCATTTATAACTCAAGGTTTACATCTATCTTTTACATAGCCTAATGATACACTTACGCAACTACCTCGTATTTAACTCGTACGGATGCACCAGAGCTTTGGACATGCTTTGTCTTCATTCATTTCTAATAGTCAGGGAAATAGTGCCTAGAAAAGGACAACCAACTAGAATTGAGGATGTACAACATACCTTATTACTTACTCTCTCCCTATATCCCTCTTCTATATATGATAATTGCTTATGCACATACAGTGTATGATGTTGGGTTTTTCACTGATATGGACGAATACGACTTTTTAGAATAAAACTAGTTATATTACATATACTGTTTATAGTATACTTACTCTGGTCTCCTGTGATGATTATGTTGCAGTTTTCGTCATGGCAGACGGCAGTGACTGGTGTGCCTTGGCGTCGGGTGATGGCCGAAACCTCCCGTATCAACTGTCCCTACAATGATGTTTTACTAATCAAACATCCATCAACGTTCCTTTATACAATATCAACGTTAAATTCAGAAGAGTAATGGCAAAGACCACTACACATCAAACGTCCACCAACGTTTCTTTACACAATATCAACGTTAAATTCAGAAGGGTAATGGCAAAGACTATCACACATCAAACGTCCACCAACGTTCCTTTACACAATATCAACGTTAAATTCAGAAGGGTTATAGCAAAGACTATCAAACATCAAACGTCCACCAACGTTTATTTACATGATATCAACGTTAAATTCAGAAGGGTTATGGCAAAGAGTATCACACATCAAACGTCCACCAACGTTTGTTTACACAATATCAACGTTAAATTCAGAAGAGTAATGGCAAAGACCACTACACATCAAACGTCCACCAACGCTTCTTTACACAATATCAACCTTAAATTCAGAAGGGTAATGGCAAAGACTATCACACATCAAACGTCCACCAACGTTTATTTACACGATATCAACGTTAATCCCAGAAGAGTAACCGCAAAGACTAACAATCATTAACGGTGTCCGAAGCCAAATTTTAGAGCTAACTTAAACGTAAAGAGCCTTAAAGGATAGAATCCATTATGCAAAATCAAATGTTGAATTATTAGCCTTGATACAACAAATTCAAATAATTTACATTAGCATTGATTGTATATTTTAGTATTAGACCCGGTCCCATTCTATCTTGTACATGTACCACTTCGACATTTCAGTGAAATGGCAATATCATTTACCGTTCAATTTCTGTACGTGCACACTCGTTTTAATTTGATTCTGAATAAAATGAATACGCTGCACAAAGTTAAATGCCATTTATTATTTCTGTCGTCAGTAATTTGTTTTCGAATCGACATTTTCTTTCTCTATACTTGCATGTCCAATATCTCAAAATATTTCTTGAAACTGTCGCCCAGAAAAATATTCGCCCTTACGAATATGTTTATACTATGTAAGGTATGCTGTGAACTGTATACTCGCTGTAACATGAATTTGCCCTTTTCACAAAAGGCGATAGTTAAACTGCGGCAAAACTTCCCTTGTACATAACACAAATATAAGCAATGGCAATGTTTAGCATGTGGATATAATTATACGTACGGCCATTGTCCAGAATCGGATATACGAGTCTTGGTGGACACTGACGATAATGGGATCGTACGTCTCCGTAATGTACCGACTTTCAATGTCCTCCTCCTCTTCTTCTTCCTCGTCCTCTTCGTCTTCGTCCTTTTCGTCCTCGTCCTTTTCATCGTCCTTCTCGTGATCTTCCTCTACTTCCACCTTTTCGGGATCTTTCTTTTCCTCTTCGCCTGTTTCTTCTTTCTTTGCTAAAACCATTAGAAATTTGATCAACTTCCGATATAAGCCATTATAAGAATAAACATGACTTTGAGGTGCAAAGTTAAACATTTCCTTTTACATGTCAATCCTATTTTCGATTTATTTTACGAAATTCATAAACAGTTATATTTCAGCATTTCCAAATAATGCACTCTGTAAAACGAGTCAAATTTCAAAAACAAATCAATCCTTCCAGCTAAACAACCAATCACCAGGTAGAAAACCTACCGTCCGTAGTGTCGCCTGTTTCCTCATCGGTCCCTTCGATCCTCGCCGTGAGTTTATCCATCAATTCCTTCTGTTCTTTCTCGTCTACCTTGATGTCACCCTGTAACCATGGTTGTGGGGACGTTAGCGATTCAAACAAAGGCAATACATACATTATATATGCCTTCTTTGCAAATAGAAACCATCAAGGTTTGGTTTCTTTAGTGTCCTCTATTCGGTACAGGAAAAATAACCATGATTCTTCAGGAATCCATTTTAAAATGCAATTCAGCAGACAGCACCATTTGTACTAAACATAACATCGTACTCGTGAACTGTTGCTTTTATTCAATTAAACATAATTGCCCTTTAACCATGTTGGTAAGGACGTTTTACGGCAAAATGGAAACATCACAGGGTATGTGACGATTGTGTTCGTTTTCAATGAAGACAACATACAGGTTTACTCACGGTTGTTAATTTATTTATATCGATGTGAAGTCCCACGATGATTGTATGTAAGATTTGTAACTTATGTCAAATGAGAAATAATTCAACATACCTGGTAGATCAGTGAGCAAAGCAAAACACCATGGAATGCTCGTGGCATCGCATTAGTGAAACCAAGTGGAACAAGTCTATTTATGATTGTCAGATAATTGTGATAACACTCACTACACTGGTATATGGGGCATAACTTCGTAAATTACAGTCAGATAATTGTGGTTATTCAGATTGCCATAGCTTTTATGATAAGTTAACTTCCTATGAAGTTTGCACTTAATCCCCTGAAAATTACTGAGATATCGCGCGGGCACTGCACTTGCCCACTCACCCGCTCACGAAAGGGTAACAAAATCACTACTATTGCAACGAGACAAAAATATCACATTTGGTCTTTCCAATAAGAACTAAGTAAAAAGGTTCACCAGAGACACCTTTTAAGTACACATTTGAAACGGTACACGTTAACAATTAGTGTAAAGGATTACTACATTGTAACATAGCTTCATGTAAGTTACTTGAAATATTTATCCAAACCTTCTGACATATCCCCAAAAACATAACTTACCTGTTGATGAATATTAGAAGTTCGAGATAACCTTGAGTTTGACCGCGACACTTTTTTACTCATTCGAGATTTCCTGGACATGACGGAACCCGTTTCCATCTTCTCCTCATTTTCCTCCGTGACACGCCTACAAATATGGCAGAAATTGTTCATGCATATCAGTGTATCTGTGTGCATTTAGTTATCTCTATAAAACAAGAACATTCCATTGAATTTAGACGATACTTATGTAATAAAAAAAAATCACAAAGAACTCAAAGTGGTTTTATGGACCTTACGAGACCGTCTGTGCAATGTTCCCAGTTTAAATGCTAGTTTCTGTACAAAACTGGTTATAAATGGTGTAATTTAGTAGTTAACACGACATACTTAAGGTAAGCCGGGTCAAGCTTCTTCTCCTTGTGAATAAGCACTTTTAGCATGTTGACCCTTTTTTCTTGGTTCTGCTTTTGCTTCTGACGCGAGGGAGATGGCGTTGACCCCTCAGGAGCAGGAATTTCAAATCTGTTTATACAAGAAAAATAATGTTGTATGCTATAACTGTTCTCATTGTTGAATGAGGAATTATGATATTGAAGGACAGCAATAATCACTGTAAGGTTTTTAGATGAGTTATAACCTGTTTCATGGATAACATGTTGACTGCTAGTAGTGAGCAAAAACGACTTCCTCTGCACCCGCACCTGCAACCCCGACGCACACAGACACACAAACGCACACACATACACGCGCCCTGGAAATAAATGCCTGTCGTCCTGATTAGGCTAAAGCATACCAATCAAACATAGCATTTCATTCATATTCATCCGTCTTCTCTTCCTTGTCTCTGGCACATTAGGAAACCTATGTCAGATATCTTGGAAACCCCTGTTGTGCGTGCAGAAAGACAAACACATGGAAAAATATCCAGCGATGAATTCCTACAGGTATACAGCCAGACAAAGGAAACTTGCTACCGTAAATATAATCTGACAAATTCAACCAAACATCATCGACCTGCATACCATGTTTGCTTATAGAACACGTAAGCACTTGGTCGACAATAAAGCAATTCGATGCATGCATCCAGGATATTGCTCAAACAGCCAGACTGACATCACCGGTATGGATTTCGTTAAAATATTTAACACGGACCTACACAAATGCCTACACTAAACGCTTCATTACGTTAATGTAAAGGAATACTTAAATGGATAACAAACTTTCCATTACAACGCATCCAAATAGTTGTACTTTATGGAAACATCCTATCCATCCTCCTTAGATAATCATAAACGACTTTTCCGAACACAAAACACAAAACAATGAGATTATTTTTGCTGATGACACCATTAACTACAACAACGACAGCTAAGCTAACATGATCTAGGTGTAGTCAGACACAATATCCCTGCACGCCAACAGATCATTAGGTTCTCTAAATCACAACCAACAATTTAACATAATACTACTCTTCAGAAGCGCTCGGCAAATAGCACAAACCAATTAAACCTGATATAGAAATTACAACACGTACCTAATACTAGTGGAAACATGCAAATATATGATGCACCAAGTTCCATACTATCACGCAGACACGCACAAGAACAGTAATAAAATGTATTCTTCGATTTCAGAACGAGAAACATGCAACATACGAATAGTCTTTCATCACATGCATCATAACACAATGTAACCTGCTCCAGGTAGCAACAATACACAAAACAAGATGAAACGTCCTTGAAGCTTTTGCATCCTTACACTAAAGTCATACTTTCGTCTTTAATATTTCACTCAAATAATATAACAACCATACAGAATACGTCATAAAAATTGACGTTTTATAGAATAAAAATACTTATAATTTCACAATACTTCAATGAATTTGATGCATAGGGGAATGAAAAAAACGAAAATGAACACAATAAAAGATGTATGGAATTCAAGCCGTAACCGTTAACATTCTCTTTTGCTACCATGGTATGAACGATTAGTTATTGGTCTTAGTGCTGAACATTCGCCAAAATGAGGAAGGCAATGGGTGCTGTCTCCAGGCCATGACCCACAAAAGTCCTTAAACGATAGTCGCTATTCTCTATTAAATATTCAGCATTTAGGTTAATTGCAACAACTGATTAACCCGCTGCTAGCATAATGTGATATTCGGTGAGGTAGCTCTCTAAAACGGGCATCAGACCCGCGATGTTGCAAGGAGGCCAATACATCAGCATACCGTCCCCCCGTCACACATACACACATGCTAATGCATTACTTACTTAGAGGAAAGTCCTTAAATAACGCTAGCTGTTGATAAATATAAGACCCTATACCCAATAAAACCAAACAATTTGATACGTACATTTTGTCGATCATAGATCTCTCTATATCCCAGAGGACAATATTGCCGTTAGAACAGCCGGTCAGTAACGTATTGGGCAGAAGATTCTCAACACACGTCACATCGTGTGACGTCAGAATATAATCCTACAATACAAAATTCGTCATGACATCATATGAGAATCAAATCACTCATGAACGTACGCACATGTAACGTTCATAGGCTAAACGATTTCGAAATAAATCAGCATTGAACTGCTACCAGTTGACAATTACATTGATGATGATGGCCGAATGAAGCAGTGAAAAGCTTTTATTTATCTTTATTTATATATATATATATTCATCTCATATGAAATAAGCCGAAATTCTGCATGTAATTCAAAATAGTGTATTTATAGTGTAGGTTTGTTTAAATGAATAAAAAACAGACATTTTTCTTTGGAGGGTCAGTGGCTTCCAACGTTATAATTATGACCCCATAATATTTATGACGTCATAGTTAGGGCATGCTTGCCAAAGATGACATGAATGCAATCTGAATATGACATATATGTGCAATATAATGAATATGGTAAAAATAGCAAAACTATGTGCTAAACAATATTAATCATGATTTTAGCATCATACTCGTTCGTACCAATATACAATTTTAATATTGAATTATTGTTGCCATTCCTACAACATACTAACATACATGTACATAACATGCATGGATTAATACAACATTTGCGCACTGAATAAAAAGTTTCAAACGATTTTCTTACATAGCAATATATCACAGCCAGATTACATGGTCTAGTGAACGATTTGCACAGAAAACTCAAAAACGATACAAAACTGTAATAACTTACTTTTTTGAACACATTTGTGATTTGAGCGTTATTATCGGACATGGTCGAGTGACGTTTGGACCCTAGCGATGTATGTGATGGCTGACCGATGTCTGGAAGGGGATCTGGCTTAAAAGGGTCAGCCGAGGAATTAGAAGGGGTTAGCTTCACGTCCTGAGTCCAGTAGTAAACGTCCGAGAACTCCCGAACAATCGGGAGGTCGTAGTTCTCGTTCGTATCCTGTTTATAAAAAAAAGATGTTCGAATGGATTAATTGGGCATGATAGGTATGTTATAAATAATCTCATAATTTTCTTACATTGCAAAAAAACTGAAAATGCATGAAGGTTTATCACAATGCATAATTATTCTGTAAATTGTGTAAGGAGTATTAGCATCTGAATAAACACTGTTGACCCTCAACCTGTCCTCCAACGTTGACTGTTGTCCTAGATGTACCTTGAACGAGCATTTTTTCCATACTTTGATCGGATTGATTTGACTTTCTTCAGTCCTTACTTTAAATGTCCATGTTAATCTGATTTGCGAGCAAATTTTTGGAAAACTTATTACATTTAAAAGCAAAGCATGTTTAAATTGATAGGACTGCTGAGTGTGAAAATACAGAAGAAATAGCGAACTTGGGGAAATGTATAAAAATTGCAAATTCGAGATTATCATAAATAGATATAATTGCACTCTCTAAGCATGTGATACTGTACATGTTTGTATAAAATTTGAAATTATGTTGTGAGTGTGTGTAATGTTGTGTAAGGTTGTGTAATGTTATTTTGTATAATGCACTGTAAATATTGCACTTTTGTTACTTTGTGACTGTTGAGTCTAAAGACTCAAAGTAATAAAAGAACTTGAACTTGAGCCTGCATTGTATTTAAAGTGCATTGCTTAACTTATCAGTATTGCATTATTCCAGCCAATGACAAGGCCGCGGGATCTACACATTGTATGACCATGCCCTTATTTTACTCATCAGCCGTAATGAGGCTCATTCCATTTGTCCAGATGTGTACGTACTAGTATAAGTTTGATTTTGTTGTTCCAGCCTGCTGCCAGAATGACCCTGTCTCCCGTCAGGTGTGTATACATCATTCCTGTAATACTGTAGTCCTCATCAGAGGCTCGACCCGACCGACTTTTTATCTCCTGTCCGGATCCAAAGTCCCATACCTTCACAGAACCTAAATCCAGAGCCACGTTGTGTGTACAGTTACTCCGTATAGTCTTTATAAAAGGAGGCTCGTACCTGACTTGATTTATAGTTTTCTTGACTTAAGTTTTCCATTGAAAAGCATTGCTATATAAAATATTACCTTAGATTCATTTATATTTTCCAAGTAAAAATCTTTTTTAGAGTAGGCATGTTAATGAATCAGAGGCCTGGAAAGCACCAGACTAATTAATAGCTATGTTGCCAGAACATACATTTTCATTTTTCTAAGCATTATTTGTTTATCATTCAGTCATATAAAAACTTTTGAGATTGTTGTCTATGAGTATGGTATCAAGTGCTCAACTTGTGAGCTGATATTATTGGTCCCTATTCTGATATGTTTATTGCTAAAAGATAATGCAAGTTTGGTGTTCTTACCATCGAAAGCACCGGTCGCCAATCTGTAGCCTGATTTATCCAGACACACTGCAGTCACTTCAATGTTGGGGCCGTGTGCATCGGCTATCATATAAACCTTCTTGCCCGTCTCTATTTCCCAAACCTACAAAAATGGAATGTCGGACTTATCTCCCCTGTTACACCCAATGTCGGAGTTACCTCCCCTGTTACTCAATGTTGGAGTTATCTCCCCTTTTGTTACATCCAATGTCAAGGTTATCTCCCCTGTTATATAACAGCGAAATGTTTCTGAAATAGTTCAGAATTATTCCGTGTTGGACAACATTTAGAAAAGTTAGATTAAATCTATATCGATGTCCGACGTTTCTTAATGATAACGGTTGATGTATGATGTTTGCTTACCTTTATGACGGATTCTGAGCAGACGGTGATGACCTGGTTCAGGTCAAGGTTGAGCACTATTTGGCTGATGGGTCGGTCGTGCGAGTGGGGCACCTGCATGGTATCCTGAACCGCCCGGGTCAAAGGCCATGCGTCTATCACACTTGACCCTGATAAATGAACAGAACTATTATAGCAATGACATCATGCGAATTAATTTTAATTTGTTAGGTTTAACGTTTGTCCTATGTAGGTCTGACAGTATAATGCATAGCGTATAGAGAAGCGCTACCTATCGGAGATACACACAAACTGCGGCAGGAAAAGTATGTTCATATGTTTTTTATTTTTTATTTTAAACATATTTTATTTGAAAAATCCATATGGAATTGGACACAAGTTAAACAACTTAGAAACGTCCTCTTCCATAAACTATTATTCAATGGTAACATACATATATGGCAGCATTTCATGAACAGTTGATATAAATATTATATATACATATTTATAAAACTTAGCATTAATGTATACAGATGGAAATATGCATTTCCCTGATATCAGTACTAGTTCTAGGAATTTCACTTAAAATGGCAAAGATATAGTATGAATGGCATACCTTACAATTAAAGTATGTACATGTATAATAAAGCATAGTGAATAGGTACCACTGAGTGTTGGAACCAGTTTCTGCATGTAAACCGCAATTTTCTACTTAACATTTCATTTAACTAATAGTGGTGATTTGTCTTTATTATTTGAAACTTAAGCAGATTATGCAAAACGATTCGTATTTTTGATATATTCTTGTACAAACAACCGTATATTATCATTATCAGTCTGGTTCAGATTAATAGAACCGTTCAACAGTACATCTAGATCAATGACTATATCATATCTAGACAATTGTCTGGAAAGTATATCACGATAGTGGTTGTATATATTACACTGAAAAAAATAATGAAAGTGGTTTTCTATTGAAAAAGAACAGTTACATGCTTGTGACAAGACTAAATTACATTTGAAAAGAGCTGCATTCAACGCGCTACAGCCGTGACGGAGTCTAGTATGTATTATATCAAATTTTCTGTTACCTACAGACAGTTTAGTAACAGGGTTTTTTCTTTTCTAAAAACACTACGTTTAAATTCTGACACCGTTTCTAGAGATCTAGTTGAGATATCTAATGAATTCCACATTCTCAGGGTACTGGGGATAAACGATTTTTCATACAAAACTAGTCGACACTTGGGTAATACATAATCTTGACCATTTCTTTAATTATATCTACTAATGTCATTTACTTTATTGGGTACGATGTCGTTTAGGTAAGAACTAAATTATGGTGCATTTTGTATAATAATAACTTCTTTTTTTTTCCTTCTGCCATCAAGTTTTTCCCAGCCAGTTTCACTATACAAAGACCGTCTACTAGCAAACAAAGGCAAACCTGTAACTATTCTGTCTGCTTCCAGTTGGACTTGTTCTATTATATCAGAGTCTGCATTGTTACAACCATCCTACACTTGACTCGCATATTCTAAAATAGGTCTGATGACTACAATGTATAATTTTGATAAAATTTCTCTATTCACAGTAAATTTCAATTTTCGTAAAACAGACAAATGTTTAGAGGCTGATCTGACAATATTCAAGATATGTGTTTCCCACTTGCCATTTTCATTTAAAGTTACCCCTAAGTGTTTGTGTGTAGCACTGTTTGTCAATGTGGTGTTATTAAATGTCAACTGAACATCAAGTCTTTCTAAAGAACCAGTAAAAAACAACTACGTCTGTTTTATTAGGATTAAAATTTACATTCCATTTCTTCGACCAGTGATCAATAACTGCTAAATCATGGTTCATGTAATGTTCAATTTCTGAAATATTATTTGAAGAATATGAGAGCGAAGTGTCGTCAGCAAACATTCTTGACAATAAAAATAAATATTCACAAATATCATTAATATATAACAAAAATAGAAATGGTCCTAAATCAGAACCTTGTGGTATATATCCTGTGTAAGAATAAGCTTCACGTAAACATACCATTTGATTTCTACCACTTAAATAATCTCTCAACCAATTGTAAATATTGCTTCTTAGACCATATGCTTTATTTTTTTTCATTAAGCTATCATGCCAAACTCTATCGAAAGCTTTGGAAATGTCAAAGAATACCATACATGTTTCGCGCTTATTTTCTAATGATAAACAAATATTATGATAAATTTCTAGTAATTGTGTAACAGTAGAACAAAGCCTGACTGGTGTCAGGAGGTTGTTATCGATGACAAAATTAAATAAATGTTTGTAGATTACTCGTTCAAGCACTTTACTGACAGTGCTAAGAAGAGAAATAGGTCTGTAATTAGAAGAAAGAAAACGCTCACCATTTTTTAATAAAGGTATTACTATAGCTGTTTTCCACTGACTTGGAAACTTACATTGACTTAGAGATAAATTAAAAAGCAATTGAAGAGTTATACAAACACTTTCTGCAGTATTTTTTAACATTGCATGACTAATTTCAACTTTTCCGGTAGCTTTGTTTAGCTTCAAAGTTAAAAGAATATCCTTTATTTCAGTTACAGAGAAAACAATATTTCCAATTGAATTAAGGCATCTTGAAGGAAATTCCGGGATGATAGATGGTTCATCAATAATATTAGCAATGGAACAAAAAAAAACTTATTGCGTAAATCTGCTTCTTCATTAGCACATATAATGAGGGAACTGATTCTGATTAAGCTGTTTTACCAATAGGTCGATGCATAAGTTTCTCATATTGTTTAGAATCATTATCAATAATTCCGTTAATATTTTCAAAAAACGATGTTTTAGCATACTTCTTCATATTGTTTACTTTGTTTCTCTGTTGCCTGAATTTCAAAATGTCGCATGGACGATTAAATCTACGTGCTTGTTTGTGTAACCTATCCCTTTTTCTGATTTCCTTCCGTAATTCTGAATTAAACCAGGGTTTATCATTCTTCCTAACAGTTATAATTTCATATATGTTTGAGTGCAACTCCAGCAGTATGTGTATTATTGTGGTTCCGTGTCATACTTACAGCATAATGTTTATGTTTGCAATCAAGTTTAATTTAAATTAGTTTCTACTGACTAAGCTACTTTTTCGAAGGAGCGATAATCAATGTCTGTATATTATAAACAAAGCGATCCGATTACCTGTAATTAAACGTTCGTGCTTGCTATCAAATATCATGGAGTATATCCGTTTCTCCCCCGGTCGTTCTTCATTATCGGTGAATACCTGCAATGAAGGAAATAAGATATTAAATATCTGAACTCAAAGTCGAAAGGGACACCAAAACATTAGGAAAGGTACAGTGAATTCTCTCTAAAAAAGGAGCATCTGTTTGGAAGTCTGAAAGCGCCAAATCCACTTAATTACATCCTCAATACTCCAGGGGTTACGCTCGCTGAAGCCCCAGTCGCACTGTCACTCGCCGGGCTATAGTGACTAGAGCTTTACGCTCTATCAGGCAGATGTCGCTCTTCCGTAAGACCGACAGGTGTCATCCTAGCAATAGGTCAGGGTTTTTTTGGTGTGGTTTTTTGCCATTTAATGTTGCAGGGATGTAGAGAGCGTAAGTGAGCGTCACTCCTGCATGGAGTATCGAAGATGACGAAAGTATGACCGGTAACAACTTTGTATTTATTCTTGATACATACATATACCCCAAAACCACAAAGTTGGATGTCAGGTCATGTTGTACCTGTTTAACAAGGATTCAAAGACAAAATCCCTCAAGTACACTGAAAATGACCCAAACACAGCCCTTTCACATATTTACTTATTTTCATGTGAATACAAAAGCATGAGTGGTACACAGCCCGTATTGGAATTATCGATAGATTGCAACTAGTACAAAGGGGAATAACTCTCCTGAACTCGACCACGGAACTCGGTAATCACTTTGGACTAGAACGAAATCATTTCCTTTTACTGCAGTAATTGAATGAGAAATTACTATTTCCAATTATCATAACTAAACTCAGAGCAACTACCGAAGTTTTAAGTTGCGGGGTAATGTTTAGGTTTGTCTACAAAGTTATTTTGTAAACAAATAGCGTTCTAGCGACAATATTTTTGTTATATATAGGAATACTTCCGATTTCACAATATGACTGTTGAATTAATTTTCAGATGGTGGGTTCAGCCCGGATTTACCTGTAAACATGTTAAGGTGTGAATATCCCACACTCGGAACACCCTCGCCGTCGACAAACTTATCAGGTGCTGGTCCCGCTCATTACAACATATATCTACTATTGTAAATAAATGACCCATCAGTTTTCCTGTAAAACACCAATAAAAAGAACATGGTAGAAAAGTTATGTTTTTTTTAACATATTCGATAGTAAAACAACTAATATTGTTAATCATATATATTTCAGTGATGTATACATAGCCACAATAAGTCAATTGCAAAAGTAAACGGTGATACATGAGACCATATTCTATAGCCTGGTGATGAGCATGGTGTCAATACCATTGTGACGTCATAATCATAATGATATGATATGATACTGATAGATGACCGATAACGGCTGATGGCTGTTCCATTTACTGAAAACCACAAATTTTAAGAAGAATAACAATTCATTTTTCAAACTCAGTTAAATATATAGGTATTGTGTTCAAAGTAAGCTTTTTAATTGTTTTGTCTGCAATCTTTTTCCTAATGATAAAATTGTGCATTCGGACCAAATGTAGTTAAATGCATCACTATACTGGGATTTCTTTTCGAATAGCATTCTTAAACTGCACCCACGGCAGCTGTAGAATGTGAGAAAACGTTGAGTGTTTTTCTATCATATAGCTGGACATGAGGAGATTTGGGTGCTACCTGTGGCACTACGTATACGTACCTATGGGCCGTGATGAGGTTTGGATGGCCACCTGTGGCACTACGTACCTGTTGGTCGTGAGGAGGTTTGGGTGGCCACCTGTGGCACTACGTACCTGTTGTTCGTGAGGAGGTTTGGGTGGCCACCTGTGGCACTACGTACCTGTTGTTCGTGAGGAGGTTTGGGTGGCCACCTGTGACAACGTACCTGTGGGCCGTGAGGAGGTTTGGGGGGCCACCTGTGACAACGTACCTGTGGGCCGTGGGGAGGTTTGGGTGGCTAGCTGTAGCACTACGTACCTGTGGGCCGTGAGGAGGTTTGGGTGGCTAGCTGTAGCACTACGTACCTGTCGGCCGTGAAAAGATGTGGGGATGCCACACCCGGATGACCTTGTCCACACCTCCCGTTGCTATGATATTAGCCTTGGCACAGTACGCGAAGCAGTTAACTCCCTTGTGTATGTTCACACCCCGCACTTCTCTGCAATAAAACATACATATGACGAAAACTATTGAAAAAAGGTTCACTGTTGTATATACATTCATCTTGTACTATAATTAAGCTGGTATGGCGTAACATTTGATAGCGTTTCCGGTTTCTAATGAATAGGTACTTTGTTTTAAGTGTTTCTGGTGTTGGAGGTAATCGACCACAATTGCTCCAGTTTCTGAAAGTTAATAACGCTTCCAATGTAATCTATATACTGGCGACGAGTATTGGCTATTTGTGATGGATATGGTGCGAGGGGGGATTTAGAGTGCGAGAGTCATTTATTTCTGATATTTGCGAATATGTTTGAAATGCAAATTAGCTATTTATGATGAACATGTTTCAGTGGAGTGATAAATGGTGCCTTGTTCCGATATTTGGGGAAATGGTTGAGGAGAGTATTTGTGTGGTTGTGAGAGGATGGATGGGATCGGGACGATGCCTATAACTTACTGATCATCGTAGAGACGTTCCACCTCCTCCAGCACAAAGGATTGCCGACTATGGGGGGAACAGGAAGCGAAACAACGCAGCTCCGGGAAGTACTTGACGTTTAGTACCCAGTCGTGGTGTAGTTTTCTCTTTGCTATGGGACTGCAAACCAAACAAAAACATTCAACGTCACGGTAATATACTAGAATCTAACATCACTAAGACATTGAGTCTGTTTTTGACTTTTTACTGTGTCTCGCATTCAGATTATAAATAATGTAAACGAAAACAATTTCAATCATACTGAATGATCAGCTTTTATACCACACATATGACGTAAAGCATTCAAACATATTCATATACACTGAAATCTGTCCAATCTGACACCCTGTGGGATACGAAATATTGGTCATATTTGTAATCTTAAACAAGGTGTCGAAACACACAGGATATATTTGCTACATGTTGCTTATATAACAAATGTGATTACATCATTCAAATCGGATTAAACAGGGTGTCAGAATGCGCAGGAGTGTGATAAGGCAGGTATCGCCGATTTATTTCTTGAATTCATAAGACTATTTCTATTTCGTTTCGATTTGGGATTATAATAAAATCGAATGAGTTCTTTCCGGTTAAACACACATAAAAACACAAACAGATGTTGTATGCTCCACGATATACTGACATGTACGTTATTGTGACTACTCCGTTATACTGACTTTTATTACATACTTACTAATAAATACGGGGTGGGTCTTTTTTATATGCGATACGACACAATTGTTCTAACCCATATAAGCTCTCGCCGTGTCACACCCAAAAACCCGTATCAGCCCTCTCCGTATCAGCCCGCAAAACCCGTATCACACCCCTTTTGAAAAATTTCGTTTTTCAATATTTCAAAAGAAAAATAGATCATAAGATAGTAGATCATTCCGTATTTTATTAGTAAGTTTGTAATGAACAGAATAAAACATGCCTTTTTCCATATCACACCGTGTATCAACCCTCGGGCTGATATTTGAATCTCGGGTTGATACTTGGTGTGATATGGAAAAAGGGATGTACTATTCTCTATGTACGTTATACTGACATGTACGTTATCGTGACTACTCCGTTATACTGACTATGTGAGTTTATCCGGGTCGATAGGGTAGTTCTGTGGAAGGTTGATATTGCCACGTTTGTCGTTCTTGGAACTCTTTGTGTTGAGGTCCTTGGCCACAAGCCTCATAGCGTTTACGTAACCTTGATCGTCGCCAAACAGGACTATGTCTTCGTGCGCACCAGAAGTGTTTGTCACGTGGGTTATACATTGAGGGGAATTCTCAAACGGTTTTATTGAGTATATTTGCTGAAATAGAATTTGTGCACAAAATATTTTGTAATCTTAATAGGTAGATCGTTGATATATTATGTAATAAAAAAAAATACGAGCAAATATATTGTAGTGCAGTTCAATTAAAAATAAATTGTATTAATAACTTGGATAACACTCTCTACTGAATTTATAATTTGTCATTTTATTTGTAATATTTATTAAAAGGGAAAAAATATAGTCTATTCTAATAATTACTGGATAGAAAACCTTCTGCCGATATAAATTAAAAATCAAAAGTGTGTATTATACTGTTCATATCAATTGAAAAAAAACAACATATTCAAATGTTTTTGCAAAAACATTATGGTACTTTCCGTTAACAGAACGTACCTGATTTTTGCCCTTTGACCTGCTGTCCCAAATAACGATGCTCCGTTCTGTACATGTAACAGCACGTCTTATTCCCGGGAGATAGTCGCAGCCCGTCACCCACGCTGGCTCCTAAAAATAGCACCACCCGCTTCATCAGTAACATGTTTAAAGAAAAATAATATTCCCCATTCACTGGGTTTTTACATAGTTTGTAGTGACATAGTAAATCTAAACCAACCTAAATAGCTTCTAGTGGTAACTAAGATGGTTACAGAAACACATCTAAAACCTTCTCCACAATGTCAGTTATACTTGTTATAAATCGTATGCCTTGTGCTAATTCTCAACTATGACTGCCTGAGTCATGTGATGAATCTGTGAATCTGATACAGACGACATTCTAACAAAAAAGAAAACGTATATCAACGGATCGTTACTAAAAATAATTTAGGGTATTCCGTGCTTCCAGGTCTGCTACAAACATTATTCTAAAAATAGAGTTTCCCTGCTGCGAATTCTCCACTCTGGTTGGCGGAGAGACGTCATGTGACGGGCATGTAAATGTTTTACAGACTTTAACAATAGAAATTGAGTCCATAACTTAACAGTGACAGAGAAATACCAACTGCTTGGTCAGGACTACTTTGATTGAATGCCGGTAGCAAGTTAAAATAACACAATAATAATATCAACAGAGCCATCTAAAATGTTAACATGATCACAATCATCCCATCCACAGGGACAGTAAAATGTCGACATGATCACAACAATCCCATTCACAGGGACAGTAAAATATTGACAGGATCACAACAATCCCATTCACAGGGCTAATAAAATGTCGAAATGATCACAACAATCCCATCCACAGGGCTAGTATAATGTGGACATGATCACAACAATCCCATTCACAGGGCAGGTAAAATGTCGACATGATCACAACAATCCCATTCAGAGGGCTAGTAAAATGTCGACATGATCACAACTATCCCATCCACAGGGCTAGTAAAATGTCGACAGGATAAAAACGATCCCATCCACAGGGCTAGAAACAAGTCGACATGATCACAACAATCCCATTCACAGGGACAGTAAAATGTTAACATGATCACAACAATCCCATTCACAGGTCCAGTAAAATGTTAACATGATCACAATGATCCCATCCACAGGGCTAGTAAAATGTCGACAGGATCATAACAATCCCATCCACAGGGCTAGTAACAAGTCGACATGATCACAACAATACCATTCACAGGGCTTGTAAAATGTTTACATGATCAAAACAATCCCATTCACAGGTCCAGTAAAATGTTAACATGATCACAACAATCCCATCAACAGGGCTTGTAAAATGTCTACATGATCACAACAATCCCATTCAGAGGGCAAGTAAAATGTCGACATGATCACAACAATCCCATTCATAGGGCTAGTAAAATGTTAACATGAGCACAACAATCCCATCAACAGGGCTTGTAAAATGTCGACATGATCACAACAATCCCATCCACAGGGCTAGTAAAATGTCGACATGATCACAAAAATCCCATCCACAGGGCTAGTAAAATGTCGACAGGATAAAAACGATCCCATCCACAGGGCTAGAAACAAGTCGACATGATCACAACAATCCCATTCACAGCGTTTGTAAAATGTTAACATGATCACAACAATCCCATTCACAGGTCCAGTAAAATGTTAACATGATCACAATGATCCCATCCACAGGGCTAGTAAAATGTCGACAGGATCACAACGATCCCATCCACAGGGCTAGTAAAATGTCGACATGATCACAACTATCCCATCCACAGGGCTAGTAAAATGTCGACAGGATCATAACAATCCCATCCACAGGGCTAGTAACAAGTCGACATGATCACAACAATCCCATCCACAGGGCTGGTAAAATGTCGACATGATCACAACAATCTCATTCGCAGGGACAGTAAAATGTTAACATGATCACAACAATCCCATTCACAGGTCCAGTAAAATGTTAACATGATCACAACAATCCCATCAACAGGGCTTGTAAAATGTCGACATGATCACAACAATCCCATTCACAGGGACAGTAAAATGTTAACATGATCACAACAATCCCATCCACAGGGCTAGTATAATGTGGACATGATCACAACAATCCCATTCATAGGGCTAGTAAAATGTTAACATGAGCACAACAATCCCATCAACAGGGCTTGTAAAATGTCGACATGATCACAACAATCCCATTCAGAGGGCTAGTAAAATGTCGACATGATCACAACAATCCCATTCACAGGGCTAGTAAAATGTCGACATGATCACAACAATCCCATTCACAGCGCTAGTAAAATGTTAACATGATCACAACAATCCCATCCACAGGTCTAGTAAAATGTCAACAGGATCACAGCAATCCCATCCACAGGGCTAGTAACATGTCGACATGATCACAACAATTCCATTCACATGGCTTGTAAAATGTTAACATGATCACAACAATCCCATTCACAGGTCCAGTAAAATGTTAACATGATCACAAAAATCCCATTCACAGGGCTAGTAACATGTCGACATGATCACGAGAATCCCATTCACAGGGCTAGTAAAATGTTAACATGATCACAACAATCCCATTCACAGGGCTAGTAAAATGTCGACAGGAGCACAAAAACCGCATCCACAGGGTCAGTAAAATTGTTGACAGGATCACAACCATTTTTCGTTTTTGCAAGGAAAGAATATAAACAGGTCTTGACCTACGTAAGGAAAGACAGAACGTCTTGTTCTATTAATTCCAAAAATCTTTTCCTCTGGTTCTGGTTTCACTGTTAATATCACACAGGAGTGATAGATTCTTTAAATCCACAAGGCCAGTATAATGTTTACAGGATCACAATAATCCCACCCTCAGGGCAAGTATAATGTTGACATGAGCACAATAGTCCCACCCTCAGGGCAAGTATAATGTTGACATGAGCACAATAATCCCACCCTCAGGGCAAGTACAATGTTAACATGAGCACAATAATCCCATCCACAGGGCCAGTAACATGTTGACATGGTCACAATAATCCCACCCTCAGGACCAGTGAAATGTTGACACGATCACAATAATCCCATCAACAGGGCCAGTATAATGTTGACAGGATTACAATAATCCCATCCACAGAGCCAGTATAATGTTGACAGTGTCACAATAATCCCATCCACAGGGCCAGTAACATGTTGACAGGATCACAATAATCCCACCCTCAGGACCAGTGAAATGTTGACAGGACCACAAAAATTTCACCCTCAGGGCAAGTATAATGTTGACATGGTCACAATAATCCCACCCTCAGGACCAGTGAAATATTGACAGGATGACAATAATCCCACCCTCAGGGCAAGTATAATGTTGACATGGTCACAATAATACCATCATCAGGGCAAGTATAATGTTAACATGAGCACAATAATCCCATCCACCGGGCCAGTATAATGTTGACAGGATTACAATAATCCCATCCACAGGACCAGTAACATGTTGACAGGATCACAATAATCCCACCCTCAGGACCAGTGAAATGTTGACAGGATCACAAAAATTTCACCCTCAGGGCAAGTATAATGTTGACATGGTCACAATAATCCCATCCACAGGGCCAGTATAATGCTGACATGGTCACAATAATCCCACCGTCAGAGCAAGTATAATGTTAACATGAGCACAGTAATCCCATCCACAGGGCCAGTATAATGTTGACAGGATCACATTAATCCCATCAACAGGGCCAGTATAATGTTGACATGGTCACAATAATCCCACCCTCAGGACCAGTGAAATGTTGACAGGATCACAATAATCCCATCCACAGGGCCAGTATAGTGTTGACATGGTCACAATAATCCCACCCACAGGACCAATGAAATGTTGACAGGATCACAATAATCCCACCCTCAGGGCAAGTATAATGTTAACATGAGCACAATAATCCCATCCACAAGGCAAGTAAAATGTTAACATGATCACAACAATCCCATTCACAGTTCCAGTAAAATGTTAACTTGATCACAACAATCCCATACACAGGGCTAGTAAAATGTGGACATGATCACAACAATCCCATTCACAGGGCTAGTAAAATGTTGACATGATCACAATAATCCCATCCACAAGGCAAGTATAATGTTGACAGGATCACAATAATCCCATCAACAGGGCCAGTAGCATGTTGACAGGATCACAATATATAATCAATCAGGTCAATTAAAAGCTGACAGGATCACAAAAGTCTTATCCACGAAGTCAGTAAAATGTTGACAGGATCAAAATAATCCCATCCACAGTCCCAGTAAAATGTTGACAGTGTCACAATAGTCTTAATTTACGAGGCAAATATAATGTTGACATGATCAAAATAATCTTACCCGTGAGGTAAATTAAATGTTGACAGTATCACAATATCTTTATAAACGAGGTTGACATGATCACAATATTACGTCACGCACGGGGTCAGGTAAACTGTTAGCATGATCACAATAATCGTATCCACAGTCCAAGTAAAATATTGACAGAATCACAGTTATCTTGTCCATCGATCAGTAGTCACGGGACCTGTAACGGCCTTCAACTTCGCGGTCATGCTTCGTTGACTGCGACTACGTAGAGTGTAAATATGACAGATTTGCCAAGTTGCGAGGTACATGTAAGGTGTGGACGTGTCGGCATTGAAAGTGTTACCATGCAACGTCACGCGATCATAAGTCTAAAGTTGTAAGGTACATGTAAGGTGTGGACGTGTCGACACTGAAAGTGTTACCATGCAACGTCACGCGATCGTAAGTCTAAAGTTGTAAGGTACAAGTAAGGTGTGGACGTGTCGACATTAAAAGTGTTACCATGCAAAGTCACGCGATCATAAGTCTAAAGTTGAACAAATCATGCTTAAGAGATGCACAATGAAATATATATCCATTGATAAAGACAGAGAAAATCTCACACCGGAAGTGACGATACATATAATTGGAAAACATCAATCAAACATTTGTTTACAGAAATATACTTAACTCGTGGAAAGTGTTTTTAATTAACCGGTTCCGTTTTGACTCAGTTATTAGGCTTCGGTCTGTCAATCGGTCCGAGGTCGTAATGTGAAATAAGGATTAGCAATTACCCTTTAGTAATAACCTGACATTTAAGCAGCCTTCTACGGAAAATGTCGACTTAATCATTCGAAATTTCAAGATAAGAAAGACTCGAAAACTAGAATTTCGAGTAAGAAAGTTGTTATCTTGAAATTCGAGTTATAACTCGAAATTTCGAGTAAGTCATCTGAAATTTCGAGTTATTATGTCGAATTTCGAGTTACTAATACAGAAAAACGTAAAAAAAAATCTACATGGCCCTGAATAAATATTGATTCAAACTTACTCTATTTCAATGTTCCGTATACCACCAGTGAAATTGAACACAAGCTATAAAATATCATCACAAGTATCATTTTTTACCAAATACAGAGTTTAGTTAGAATTTGGTTAGAATTAAATACCAATTAAATCTCATTATAGAATGTTGTTTTCCGAAAGTGAAGTAAGGAAGTATAACACAAATTACTTTTATATCGGCCACCTTTAAAACCACGGGTTTTATTGCTATATTAATGTGTTTATTTTGCATTAAATTCGTTTGAACTGACGTCATAGAAATACATCTTCACGCTGTAAGTTGATTTAAAGTACATTTGCACAGCCCGTGATGTAAAAATATCTCAATATTAATTCGGGATAATCTATTTAGTATTTAATTAAAATCAATACTAAAAGTTTTGATAGGGTATTGTATGTCTTTTTATATGAAGAATTTTGTTGACGCATTGCAGGATTGGCGAGAAGACAAAGAACACACTAATGGATCTGCTGATAAAACAATTGGATATGCCAACTGTTAACAACTGTAAGGTCGATGACAGAACATGTTCGCTTTATAATCCATTCACATGTAATAATTAATAGTTCTCTTCAAACTTATGGGAAAGGTCAGTGACAATTTCTTAAGTTTTAAGAACATTTTATTGAAAAGATTAAAGGCATGAGGCAAAGATTTTTTTAAAAAAACATTAGTAAATAACAATTAATTTTAATATCAATTGAGAAAACATATGGATTTAAAAAACGACTTCTGATATTCACGGTGCAAACTTTAGCTATTTTCTTGTATGAAAACCGATATAAATATGAGTTTAAAGCGTAGAATATTACATTTTATATATCAAATCAGTCAAGCGTATCTAATATATAGAACGCTATGATACAGAATAAAACAATTATTGTTTTATAGAAAAACTCCCGCCCGAATACACTGCTGCATTGTACTGTTGGATGTCATCCAGAAGTCTCTACAGGCGCCTCAGCACTCTCTTTCTTCCGTTTAGGTTTCGGCGCAATCTCCTCGAGCTCCGCGTCTGTCATGCTCATCCACGGTTGACTTTTTACTGCGGAGATCGGCGGACGATCTTCGAACAGGTACGTGAAAAGATACAGAATAAGTTCGCGGCACTTTTTCGTTGCACCCTTCCAAGAGAACTCCAGCCTCTTGTGTTCCGCTAACATGGCCCTGTTCCCGCGTGCTTCGTCAAATGGCATGGTACCCGTGACCATGATGAAAAGGACGGCTCCCATAGCCCACACGTCTGACTTCCGAGGCTCGTACGGTCGCCCTTTCAGTATCTCTGGAGCGACGTAAGACTTAGATCCACAAAACGTTTTACTTAGGTGGTAAGTTCCGAGATTGTCCTTCACAAAGCCAAGGTCGCCGATTTTAACACTATACTTTGAGTCCAATAATATATTCTCGAGCTTTAGGTCTCGATGTGCAATAGCTTTGGAGTGAAGGTACTCGACGGCTTTACATGCTTGTTCGAACCAGTGACGTGCTAACACTTCGTGCAAAGGACCATATTTCTGGACATAGCGCAGTAAGTCTCCACGTGCAGCGTATTCAAGTACGAAATACGTTCGGGACGTGTCCTCAAACATCTCAAAGATCTTGATAATGTGCGGATGGTCCAATCTAGGCCATACGGTCTTCTCTTTTGGAAGAAATCTTAATAAATAGTCTTTAGGGGCGGCTTTCTGATTGAGGACTTTCACAGCTACACGCTTTTCCTGGCGGTGAAGACTAAAAGCCAATTTTACGGTGGAGTAACTACCAGAACCAAGCGTCTTCTTCACTAGGAATCCTCTTTGGGCCAAAACAGCACGGTATGTGAGTTTCCGGGTGCCTTCTTCAGTCTGTCCGAGAAGCTTACTCATTGGTTTTATTCGCTCCACTTCGTTCTTAAGTTTGTCAAGTTCCTCTAAAAGAATAGCATTATCAGTTTCGGCAGTTGGGCCGTAGCAATTCTCTTCTGCCATCGCCATGACTACGCCGAGGCCTGGGTCCCGATCTTTACCCTGCCGGTAACCAACTACGGCTCTAAACAAACATTTTTAGCGTGGAAATAAACCAGGAAAGTTAAGCTGAACACCGTTTCCCAGACAAATCGTCAAGGACTTTAATCTATGACGTCACAAAGCAAAGATTTCGATGACGTCACAAGTGCCTTACAACATACTGCTATCAGAGCGAATTGTTGGATTTTTGACGTGCAGTGTTGTACGATTTATGCCTTTATTTGCTAAATGATGCCGTATAGTACATGACCATTAAAATTCCGGAATTTATTGTTGATAAAATAACAAGTAAGCAAGTCAAATATACTCACATTAACGTCTATACAGCTCGTCAGTCGTAGCTGAAAAAGGAAACAGATTTTGACAATTTGGATCTCTTTTAAAGAAAAAAAGCTGTTATAAATAATATTTTGGAAAATCATTTCAAAATATTAAAAGAATCAATCATTTCTGCAATGAAGTTCACAAAAAGCAAAATGGCTACAAAAGCCCTCATCAGCCATTTGTTTTGAAAATATTTATAGAATGATCATCAAAATATATATTCTAGCCATGTGTCAGGCCCCAATCATCGCACGGATAATTTTTACTTCTTGATCAGAAATATTTACATGTGCACCTTGAATTCTTTTATTTCTTCTCGTCGCTTGTTCTTGACACGTGTTGTTTTTTAGTTTGGTGTATTATTCTGACACACTTGAGACATTTGTTACCTATGAGGAAGGCCACTTTCAGCTAGTTGTGGATGTACTCTGTCACTCCGTCATGACACCTACCTTACTGCTCCACATCGCTATAGCGCCTTTCTGTGAGGCTGAGATGTAACTGTCCAGTGAAGGTACGTATCGAATACATTGCACAGTGTCCCGTCGTGTCTTGTCACCTGTAGGTATAACAATACGTCATTTTGTTAGTTACTGTAGAAATATGTTAATTTGTTAACTACTGCCATTGGAAACTCTGTCAGTTTCGAGAGACATTGATTATAAAATGTTTATATACAATTATTTGTTTTATAAGGAAAGGTTGTTAATAATGTTCATGTAACTTGAGCCCAATCCATTTGCTTTTTTGGCAATAAAATATGTTTCAACTGAAGAAAAAAAAATCTACGGACGCCCTCCTCCGAATTATCAATAAAAATGAGTGTTTTGTACATGAAAAACTTGGCTTGCCGACTCGAGATGGTTCGGAGAGTTACTCACCGGCGGCTTCGCCGACCCGTCGCCGTTTGGAGACCGTGAAGACGCTGACTTCCTCTCCTAGAACGATCTCTTCACTCTCTTCCGCACTCGACTGGAAATACCCGAACAGCTGCGCAACAAAGGAAGCAAAATCGTGCACAAAAGTGTTGTTGTAACTGTTGTTTTGTGTGATGAATTGAACAAGTATTCTGCTAGGACTGTGGATGGTTTTAATAATATGTGCCGTTCAGAGAAATCGTCACTTTTCCTTAGTTATCATGCTATCATCAATATTACTGACAAAATCTGTTTAATATTCAATATTTTATGTTGCAGTAGGCGACTGTTATATCACATTTATCATTTGATAAATACAATATGTATAAAGGCCTAACTAGTTGTTGGGAGGCCTAATTCGGATCATCATAACATGCTATAGGTGTATATCTACACTTACGTACTCCAACGAAATGTTTATTATTTTTAATTGTATACCGATGACCATGTTAACAGGTTACAGGGTCATTTATTTTATAGTAGCTTTTATATTGTCTAATAATTCTTACTTAAGAATGGCCATCAGAAAGTTGTGATTGGGTATGGGTTATTTTAATGCATTCACAATTTGATGTTTTACGTATGCATTCTGATGTGTGACATCTTAATAAATATATTTTATTGATTGATTGATTGATTGATTAAAAGACAACAATGTGTATGATAACTGAGCGATGTGGACAAAAATTAATCGATAACAGAAAATGAATGTATGTTTAACGTATGGCTCATCAACACCAAATTATCTGGTAGTGTCGAAGCACCGCAATCGACACCAGGGGAGATAAGTACGACGGTTATGTTCTTTATTCTAAATTCTATGCAAACTGAATTTTTTCGGACGTAAAATGATTTTTATATTATGTCCGTGAAGGACAATATCCATAAGATGTCATAAATCGAAATGTTTCTCTTTTATGGTAGGGATGCCTGTGTACAAAATAGATTGATAAATACGATGTTCCATACCTCGCTCCAGTCGACCTTAGCGTCCGGATTGGTGGAAATCTTACGGTAAATAGCCTTCAAGTCCGTGTTTTTCACATCACTCCCGAATAGCGACCGGATAGCATCACAGAATTGGTCAAATCGGAGACTCTCTGGAACACAACAAAATATCGACGAATTTTAACAAAGGCGATACTGTTCATTCTTAAAATATAAAATAACTCCATTCATCTAACTTTAAAGGTCCCAAAAAAAAAAAAAATGTTTGTGGTACTATGAAAATCTTTAAATTTTGAGGACTAAAATAAAATAAAATATTTACAAAATATCCAAGCTTAAGGAAATAGAAGTGTTATTGAATTGATTTATATATGTACATCTATATAATAAAAATTGCATTAATTGTACTTATACATGTACTGTAAAGCGCAATTGATAAATCTGTGTGCTATCTACGATATGTCTTAATTTTAAACAAATTGTACACGGCTTGATTGATTTGATAACAGTTATTCTGATAACATAATGTTTACGAGAAATCCTTTCCAGAACTTACACTCATTTTGTTTGGGGAGGTGGGAGATATTTCGATATAATCCTAGTGACCAGACACCTCGCATATCTCGATAAACAGTAAGATTATGCAAGCATTGTTGAAACGATTTAGCAACTTGGCAGTGTTCTGAATTTACATAAGTACATATGAACTGACATTCTCCTACCTAAGAGAATGATCCGCCGTGTGTGGTGTTAAGAGATTTGAAGTTAATCCGTCTCTTACAGTGCTTTAGGCCAGTCATATTAACAGGTGCGGTTCATATTATGTTTGCCAGCCTTATTCGTGTTACGGACTCTACTGAAACCTAAGGGCATACACGGTAGTTTGTATGTATTAACGACAACAACACCTGATGACGTCACTTGCCCTGGACTGACCCTTCCAGTCAACTGAACATATACGTTCCGATTTGATGTTTTAACTTCTCAACTTCTGTATATGAATTAATTGATTTAAAAATGTACCTATTATGATTATTTTTATCATTTTTAGTGTCTCATAAGTCAACCAATGATGGCTGGGTGGGTATTGATCGCTTTTTACTTTGTATATTTTATGATTGTGATTTTTATTTTACTGTCGATCAATGCGTGACATTTAAATAAACTATTATTTATCTTATCTTTATCTGAAAATTTATCTTATACGCAGCGTGCGGTGTTGACTAATGATCGATAAATAGCGGTCAGTGTCTCTACTTTATGCACTTGGAGTCGAACCCAAACCTCTTAGCTATGTTTCCAGTGATCTACCAGTTGAACAAAACGACAATAGCCGAAGAAGTGCTATTTGTGTTTGACTGTAACGTCTTTGCGGCCCATTAACACAATAAGGGAATACAACTATGTATATGGATACATGGTAAAAGCGACTAAACGATATCTTTGCCAAAAGAGACATGGATGTAAAAATCAAAATGAAATACATTTTAAAAATAATAAAGTATTAAAGGTAAAAGGTCCCAAGGGCTAAAATGGATTTGTGCAGCAGATCAATTTCGGGTTTTTTTTATGTTCCTGAACGGAATACATACAAATTAGTCGCTTCATATAACTGTGTAGTGAAATACAGCAGGTCAATTATTTTCTAGCGTCCATGAACCCGCAGAGGACTGATGGGGAGCAGCACAGTGTACAGCACTGTGCAAAAAAGTATTTGCGGTTTGAAAAGACTTATTTGCATTTCATCCATTTTATCCCATTTTATTGAAACTTTCGAGGATTTCAAATTAAAGCGCCATTGAAGTAAAAGTTCACAAACCGAAGACACATTTCTATATAACTTTCTGAAAAAATATTTTCATAGATTTATGTTGACTGGTTTTCGAGGTATGACAAGTTATTCAAATGAAATTGAATTTATTTTCAGATTCAGACATAATAAGCCCGCAGAAAATTCGATGAAAAAGATACAGACGCATAAAAAATATTTGGCATCATGTAAATCAGGACAAATTGCGAATCGTTTTGACACGATGATGTGTCTCTCGCTGACTGAACATGTATCGTGCTAATTTGAGCACGAAAGTACAGTGTATTCAAAAGATTTTTGAGTGTTCAACGGTGTTGAGTTACAGTTGTGAGGTGAATATTCAATAAAACACTCCCTGCTTATTTATTAGTCTGCCGAAATGTACACGGACCTTGGAGGTGTTTGAAATACATAAAATGTAGTTGATATACAGTAAAAGTTAAATACAGTTAATTACAAAGACAGATGTGCGTTCATGGATTTACACACATGCTACTAGCAAACTTTCTGAATATGAACATTTAGTAACATTCAGCAATAATCAGTTATTGACTAAATCGTCCAATTATTCGCAAAATAGTGTATCATACGTTATTATTATACTTAAAGGAACGTTTTGGTGCGTCAGTGGGTTTTTTTCTCACCAATGCATTCCTCTATTTATAAGTACATGTGTGAACGTCACACTAGGCATCTATATACAACGATCTATTCTGTACCTATTGTTGTGGTTGAATGTAATATGCATAAGGAATATTTTTCAGTTATTCTAATTTCATCAATAATGAAATTAGTTCATACTTTTGAGATGTGTTTATTTCAAAAATTCAATATAAATACGGATTTTTTTTTTAAATCTTTGAATGTGTGTAGACGTATACGCTTTTGGTTGAGACGGTCTGCTCATTATTCCACAAATAATGTCCACATGGGGTCCATCTACTTTTCATTTCATAACACATAGTGGAAAATGACACATTTGTCAAGTTGATAAATGCTACATTATATCCTGCACTGGGCAAAGACAAACGAGACTATAGAAGACGGTGATACCAGTGAAGGTACATCAGCACATTTGGAACTCTTTCGAATTAGAAGTAAAAAAGAACATGCACAATACAAAAGTTTCTCCAATGAGTACAACACTATGATATGTGTTATACTGACATAACATGCATTGGTGAAACGAAATCTGTGTATCTTTATCCGGAATAGTACTTATCGGAAGCAGCGGTTTTTATTATTACACACTTTCATATATGGTCACTATAACGTTTGTATTCAAAAATCATACGAATCAAGCTTTCAAAAGCACGGACCAGATCAGAATTGTTTGGTACTTCTGTTCATTTCCTCTTTAACTATTTACTTCATTGATAAAAACGAAGCTTACCTATCATTCAAGTCAGCTGTCCCGATACGAATCGCGAAAAGCGTTCTGTGTATCGCAAAACAAGACGCACCATATTCAAACCAATACCCAACCACTCATACAATGCAAGATTCAAGATATCTAAACTCAAACATATCCAGCGGATAGTTAAGCGTTGGTTGTCAGCTTTCACATGACGAGTTTATGCGATATTCATAGTATATAAAGTTACAGGTATTTGATAGAATCGATTCACACAAAAAAACATAAAAACAAAATATCTGAAAAAAGGATACATTTGGACATTTAACAGTAGTCCTGAATAATCACAAGGGATATTTGCTATCCAATATCTGTTTAATTGGGCGGGTTTAAACGCATGCTATCGGCATGACAAACAACCCGAAGGTGTACTTTTTCCAAACAGAAAATCAAATCACAAATCAACACGACAAGACTTTTTCGATGACAAGCCAAATCCACATAGAATATCGACAAAAAGAGCATTTTATATTTTTCCATTCCATCCATTATGTCAATTTAAAACCGGATATCCTAGAACCAATGAAAACACAGCCAATAAATTCGAACACAGCCACGTGTACCGGAAGTGAAATCTTACTGATGGCTTCCAAGGCCTCTCGAAGAGCATGTCCCCGCTGACGACGTGCCCGGCGTTCACTTTTCCGGGGACTGTGGAATGCGGCGGGGTCCATCCACACCATCTGCATCGTCGTACAAACTTGCCGTGTCAGGAGGATGGTCCTGTAGTAAATGTCGATCCCTACCCTACTTAGTAATACATATGTCTACTCAGATCCTATCCATCCGGCCAAGGTTCGGGGGGAGCTCCCCAGGATCGTAATGAGCTGTACAGCTATTCACTCAAGGACGTTGTTTATCCTTCTCTCTTATTCAATATCCATTAATATACCGTAGGGGGTGCTCTATTTGAAATGAGACCCACACCTGATTGTTCTCTTCTTCTAGAGATTCACATGTATTGAACATTTGAATGGAGTCTGTTCGTATACAGCATATGGACAATAGTGTATATGGCACTGCTCTGTCGGGAACAGTGTTAAACACACGCCAATTGAATTGAATTAAAATTCTGTGTACAAACTTTGGAAGACCTCTCGAGCATGCGACACGGCTAAACATTGAGGTTTGGCACTCGGACACAAAGACATGCCCCCCCTACAAACTCTATCGGAATGATAGCTGAGACGGGTGGGGGTCCAGCAGATAAACAATCTGGCCGCGCCGTGGCCGCGACAAAGACCCCAACGGACGGTGCGATGTGGGGGATACAAAACAGTGACGATAGACCACGCCCCGTGGAAAGCAGGACCGGAGTCGATTTTGTACACGTGTATGTATAGCCAGATTTCAGATTTTATTTCCAACACTCAGACACATGGAAATGTGTAACATGAGGTACATGTACATGAATTCATATATTAAATTTTGACAGGATGGACAGGTGCATGCATGTATACAAGCAAAATTGTCTGGTTACCTAGCTCAGTGTTAAACCGTCTGGTTTTCGGACGGTTATGTAAGTATATTTGGTTTTGAACCGAAGAAGAATTAGTTTGAATTAATTTAAGGACACTTCCTCTTATAAAAGTTACTAAACTGAGACGGGAAAAAAATAAAGAATAAAGTAATCGTGCCAAATTTTAAAACCAAAAATCTCGCAAAGCTTACCAGACTGTCTCCGTTTATTTGTTTGACCAAGAGAACATTCCAAACATGTTTACAGAGCGTACAGTTATTATTGTTATATTTAAGTCAAAGGTATCGGATATAAAAGAAGATGTTATCCTGATATGTACTGGGTTGACTATATATACCGGCGGGTGACTATATATATACCAGATTACAGGGTGTGTGGGTAACGTTACGTATCTGTTGTAATTTAACGTCATATATTGCAATTTCAAATAATACACTGCACAGTATTG